TATCTTGATCACATAGCCTGTGAAAAAGAGACATATCTGTTTGTTGTGTAGTATTCATGTTGAACCGGATGATTGCGTTTGAAAGAATTGCATCATAGCGTGTTTTATTTGGGTCAAATCGTTTTTTGCGCTATTAAAGTTTTCTTGAAGCGATGTGATTTTTTTATCTTGTAGTTCGATAATATTATCACGTGACAAAAATGGATTTTCGTTTGAGTGGAACTGAGAGGATGGGATAGGTTGTAAATTCTTATTCGAATCAGATTTATCTAAGTCCATAGAATGAACAGGTGGTTTGGGTTTGATTTGTTGATCTGGTGGGGAAATATTACAAATTTGTTCTATGTTTTCCACTCGCATGAAGAGATTTAATTGGCCTTGTTGTAGTTCTTTGCTTATATTTTTCGTTGCAATGAGTTCTTCAGATAGAGTTTGAAATTTTTTTTCCAACTTTGAAAGATTGTCCATGATTTGTTGAAGATTGGTTTGAGCTGGTAATACTGGAGTATTTTTGGGGGGATGGTTTTGAATAGGATTATTTTTGGGTGCGGGTTGGTTGTTATTATTATGGGTGGTGTCTGCATATGAAGGTTTGAAAAAACGATTATCATTTGAGTTTGAATATGGAAGAGGGGGTCGGGGTGGATTAAATTTAGGTCGGTATTGCGCTGGTTTAAAACGATCGTATAGGGGTTTGAAAGGATTCTGGTTTGAGCGTGCATTGCAGTTGAATGTGTCGTGGTCAGGTGATCCACATCGAGTGCAGTGAGATACTCCTGGTGTAACCCAGTATAAGATACGGTTTTTGAATTTTTGTTGTGAGTTAAAAGCATTATCATAGTCGTCTTCGTTGTCAAAATTGATGTAAGCGTAAGGACGTAAACGATATTGTCGATCTCTAGGAATAAAACATGATTTAGCGTTTATGTGTACCAAAAAATCGGCCAAGTCTAAATGAGATGTGTTGAAGGGGAGCCCAGTGAGTTTCAATTCAAATTGTTGTCTTAAGGTGATTTGCATTTCGTTGAGGTCATTAGGTTCTATTCTAACTAGAAATTCCAATAAAGATGTGGACCATTTGTTCTCATAAAATTCTTTAATTGCGTCTGCGGAATCGTAAACAATGAATGCTATTTGCCATGGGCCTCTTGTAATCATAGAAAATCTGCAGATCCTTCCAAATTTATCAAAGCAATTTCTGACGATATCAGATTTAACGAATAGTGGTATGTCATTGACTTTAATATAACGTCCTTTTTCATCATCCTTTTGTTGTTGTTTGGCGTTTGGGTTGATTATTAAAAATGTTGGATTGTGTTGTAATTCTTTGACTTTTTCAGTTGCATGCGTTAGGAAGTTAAAAGATTAGAAGTAAATATAAAATTTTCTTTGTTACATATTGTAGTATGACCACTTGTAATCGTTGAAGTGGCTGAATAATTTGTTGATGGTGTAATGTTTCTCAGCAATAGTTGAACCATCACGTCTCTGGAATCAGTGGACGCGTAGAAGCGCGTTGGTAACGTAATAATCGTGAATTCATTTTTTTCTGCACTTTCATTATTATTATTTTCTGTATCAAATGTTTGTTCGTAAATATCTTCGTCTGATCAAATTGCATTTTGCTTTCCTTTGTTATTATATGGAGAGATATTGTTATTATTTTGTTGCTATAAGTTAGATGAATTTTGATTAGCATCGAGTCATTGGTTGTATTATTTTGGGTATCGGTGAAGGTGGTTGAATCAATTTTTATGGTAGATGTATTTGTATCTTCTATTTGTTGTGAAAACGGAGAGGTTTGATGTTCAGAAGAACTTATGTTAACTTTAGAGGAAGGTGTAAGTATAATAGAATCTATGATATTTTCGATCGTCAAAGGAGGAACTTCGTTAGAGATTTTTGTTCTTTTATTTGTAACTGGAGCGTCTATGGTATTTGATTTATTTTTTTGTAAGAGAAGAGCTGTTTGTTCTATATTTTTATTATTATTTGTTATTAAGTTTGTTGGATAAGGTTGGGTCGTTTGTAAATTTTTTAGAATTTTTGGATTTTGTTTAGTAATAGGTATGGTGAGAGAGAGAGATAGTTTTTTTTTTTCTAACAGGTCACTCTTTCTAACGGATCACTGAACGCTGAGATATTCAAGAAAACGTGTTAAAAATATTCAATTAAAGCTTCATAACTGGTATATTTTCGAATTCTGGGATTGTACCAAAGTGAGTTATACAAGATTCTAAATATAGATATATTGTTACACAAATTCCTAAAAAGGAAATTTTTAGCTATCGAAAAATTAGAAAATTACCAAAATGAGTTACACAAAATTCCAAAAATAGTAAGTTGTATAACATCAATTCACATGAGTCAATTCGAGTCAACTCGAGTTGAAATGAGTCGAGTCAATTTATTGACTCGACTTGATTAATGACTCGACTCGAATCAAATGAGTTGGAAATTTTTTGACTCAACTCGACTCAAATTCAAGTCAACTCATTTGACTCGTGAGTCAACCCGACTCATTAGGAACTCTAATACAGCCCATATTAGATCATCTAATGCTATGATTTTTTGGCTCGACATATGCTATTCAAACCAATCAGCCATAACTTACTGTACTTATTACAAAAATTTTTTCTTGGTGAATTTTAGCCGGAACGCTTCTGCTCAAATCATATGAACTTTCTTTGCCAAGTGATCGGCCATCTGGAGATTTGGAATACTACTATGCTTTATAGTTTCATGGCTATCTATTTTACATGCCATATAATCTAGCTGAAATATCAAACATGATTATTATATAATTTTACGCAGTCTGATTAACACTCCAACTAAGTTTATATCACAGGAATAGCCGATCATCCCATGATTTGAAAAACAACTCGATACTATGATAGCTCTAAGGAACTGTTGTGAAACTGAAAGAGCTCTAATATGATTTCTGTGATACAATATACATCATACTCCTCTGATTAATGGATCTGAGAATAATTTAGCTATTAATATTATCTCAGAACTAATTTAACCAAATTATGCTATTGGAAAATCCCTTACATGCATGTGAATATGTATATAGCCAAATGTGAACCTTATATAAACCCTCGATATGCTTGTAATCGAATAAAAAAATAAATCTGATATTTTATTATAATATACTTACTACAAACTGCTATAACGTTAAATATTCGCTAAAACACTATAAATCACTAAAATTGCTATAAGTCTTATTTATTATCTATTATCACATATAATCATCAAATATGTCTAGATTAATGGTTAAAATCATTTTAGATAATATTTATAATAAAGCTGTACCTAAACCTGTCAATCTCTGTCCTGAATATGATATGGAACATATTGCTAATTATTATAACGAAGATTTAAACGAACAGTTTAAAAAAGTGGTTGAAATAGAAAAGCAATATGATTATTTGTCTATCATTAGACCTCATGAAA